CGCTTTCCTCCTTGCTTATGTTGCTGCTGCCACTATTCTTGCTGTTGCTGCGACTGCTGCTGCTGCCACTCCTTACTGCTACTGTTGCTGCTGCTGCTGCTGCAACTGTCCCTACTGCTGCTGCTGCTGCTGCTGCTGCTTCTGCTGCAGAGGCACTCGGCCTATTCGCCGTATATTGATAGCAAACAACGGGATGGCCGCAACGAAGGCCATCGCCTCAATGCGCCAATGGACATTTGAAACCTTCGGCGACCCTAATGTCGGTTCTGTTACCGTTGCTGCTGCTGTTACTGTTGCTGCTGCTGCTACTGTTGCTGCTGCCGGTACAGCTGTCGTTGGTGGCATTGCTCCTGCTGTTGATCCGTTTTTTGCTACGTTTGTTGGTGCTGGCATTGCACCTATTGCTTTAGCTTCTGCTCCATTTGTTGCCATTGCATTCGTTGCTGCTGTATTTGTCGCCGCTGTATTTGTTGCTGCTGCACTTGCTGCTGCTGCATTTGCTGCAGCTGCTGACATTTGTTGCGATGGCATCTGCTGAGGACTTGGCAGCGAACAGCGAATTTCTGAAGAAGGCAGATGTCATCGTCCCGGTCCCCGGGGGCCCCAGCCGGGAGAACTATGGAAATGTGCAGCTCATATGTGATATCGCAGTTAAACAGAAGGTAAGCAAGGGTGACACCAGCAGCAGGAATAACAACAAGAGTAGCAGCAACAGCAGCAACAGCAGCAGCAGCTGGTGCAACGGCAACTGCCGCAAGAAATGCAGCCAGAGCACTGGAAGATGCAGATAACCGCCTCATGGGGATCTGCAGCAGCCGCAGTTGTAATAGCAGCAGCAGCTGCAGCAGCAGCGACAGCACCGTGCGGATCAGCGGCCGTCTGTTTCTGCTTCTTTTCTCCTTTTTTCTTTTTTTTTTTGTTTAACTACATCTTTTGCTTTGTAGTTGCTGTCTGTGTGTACACCGCAGGTTGACGCGGTATGGCCTGGATGGGGTCATGCCTCTGAAAATCCGTCTCTGCCTTCTTCTCTTTCTGCGTTGGGGATCTCCTTCCTCGGTCCCCAGGCGAAGGTGATGGCGGCGCTAGGAGATAAAATTGCAGCTAATATATTAGCACAGACAGCGCAGGTACCCGCTATACCCTGGAGCGGTACGGGGCTCACAGCTCAGCTCGACAAGGACGGAAATATACCAGAGGAGGTACAGTAAACAAACGCTAAGCCTTCCATTTTTTTCTCGCTTGGTGGTGTATGTACTCCTTACACCCTTAATTTTGTTCTTCTCTGTTTATGCTGGTTGTGGCTGAACCGCACGGGGCCTCTGCATCAAACCCTAAACCCTAAACACCATTGAATTGGTTTCAGGGTGGGTGGAGGGGGACAGCGGCTTCCCTCAGTGTAAACAAAAGCGGATAGAGGATGCAGGATTGGCTTGTTGTTGTTTTGTTATTTCGTCTGTCTCGTTTGTTTGCATCTCTTATGTCCCCTTTTGTTTAATCTTTTGTCTCCTCTCATTAAGCTTTTCTTCCCCTTTGATTGGCTGTTTATTTGCTCGCTGCACTATGGAGTATCTGGTGCCATTGAGCAGCCGCCTGTGCTCCGTGTTTGTCTCCGTCTTCCTCTACCATTTGCTGCTGCGTTTGTTGCTGGATTTCTTGCTTTTTTGCGGCATTTGCAGCTGCTGCTGCGTTTCAGCTCGCTGCTGCAGTTGCCGCTGCATCTCAGTTTGCTGCTGCGCTTGCTGCTGCATTTGCGGGTGTATTTGCTGCATCATTTGCTGCTGCGTGTGTTGGTGGATGTGTAACTGTTTAGGTGTTCAAGGCTGCAACAATAACAACAGTAGAGGAGTGCCGTGCAGCAGCAGAAAAGGTTGGGTATCCGCTGCTGCTGAAGGCATCCGGAGGGGGTGGGGGTAAAGGTATTCGTCTCTGTCACCGCCCTGAGGAGCNCCGCTGCTGCTGAAGGCATCCGGAGGGGGTGGGGGTAAAGGTATTCGTCTCTGTCACCGCCCTGAGGAGCTGGAGACAGCTTTGGCTCAGGTGACAGCAGAGGTCGCTGGGTCTCCTGTCTTTCTAATGCGTCTCTGTGAAAAAGCCAGACATATAGAAGTACAAATCGCAGGAGATAAATACAAAAATGCAGTCGCTCTATCCGGCAGAGACTGCACCACACAAAGACGATTCCAAAAAATATTTGAAGAGGCACCGCCCACAGTTGTTCCCCCAGATACGTTTAAGTAAGGAACCTGCTTCGGCACCCACAGCAGCAACAGCAGCAGCAGCAGCAGCAGCAGTAGAAACAGCAGCTTCTGTAGCACTAACAGTAGCAGCGGCGTGTGCAGCAACAGCAGTAGCAGCAGCAGCAGGACGTTCAACATCATCATAGTGGTGATGATGATCAGCGTCATCGTCACCATCATGCTGTGCTGCTACTGGTGCTGATGACGATGATATCGATGTTGTTGGTGATGATATATATTGATGATACTGTTGTTTGGTGTGTATGTGTTTGTGTATGTTGCAGGGAGATGGAGCGGGCAGCTCAGCGTTTGACGCAGTCACTGGGTTATGAAGGTTTGGGTACAGTGGAGTATCTGTATAGTCCTTCGTCGAATTCTTTTTTCTTTCTTGAGTTGAATCCTCGTCTTCAAGTTGAACACCCCGTAACAGAGGCGGTGACGGGGCAGAATCTGCCTGCATTGCAGCTGCAGATTGCTATGGGTATTCCGCTCTATAGGGTCCCCACCATTCGTTCTTTCTTTAACAGAGACCCAAAAGGAGATGAACCCATCGATTTCCTTAAGGAGGAGTATAAACCACTCAATAAGCACGTCATTGCTGTAAGATATATATATATATATATATATATATATATATANAGTATAAACCACTCAATAAGCACGTCATTGCTGTAAGATATATATATATATATATATATATATATATATACATATATATACATATATATTGATGATCATCGTGCTGGTGTTGCTGCTGTAGATGTGGAGCACCGTGCTAGTACTGCTAGTATCTTACTGCTGGTGGTACTCCGCCAAGAACTGTGCTGCTACTGCTGCTGCATTTGCTGTTGCTGCTGCTGGTGCAAGAACGCGGGTGCTACCGCTGCTGCTGCTTCCGCTGCATCTGCTGCAGCATGTGCGTTCCCGTTGTTGCTGCTGCTGTGCTGCAGGCGCGTATAACTGCAGAGAACCCGAGCGAGGGTTTCCGTCCTACTAGCGGTGCGGTGCATGCATTGGATTTCGCTCCGCCTGAGAAGGTGTGGGGTTATTTCAGCGTGAGCACCAACGGGGCTTTGCATGCGCATGCAGATTCTCAGTTCGGGCACATCTTTGCAGCTGGTAGCAACCGCAACGAGGCGAGAAAGCGACTGATATGGGGGCTGCAGCAGCTGCATATTAAGGGAGATATTCGTACCCCGATAGATTTCTTGCAGCGACTGCTGCAGCAGCCTGCATTTGTTAATCATACACTGAACACTGAGTGGCTTGATGGTATCATTAAAGCAAAACAACTCCTACCTACGCCCGATACAGCAGAAGTCGTATTCGCTTCAGCTGCCTTCAGAGCCATACAGGCACTCGAGGTACTCCACCTGCTGCTGCTGGTGCTGCTGTTGCTGGGGCATTTGTTGCCTCTTCGTGCGCCTCGCCTGCAGCTGCTGCTGATACTGATACTGCTGCTGCTGTGTTGCTCCTGTTGCTGTGTGGCTGCTCCTGTGCGTGGCTGTCTCTGTTTTCCTCTGCTGCTGCGTGTCCGTAAGAAGGAACTGCAGCAGAATTCGATAATGTTGCTTCTGCTGCTGTGCTTCTGTTGCTGTTTGCTGCTGCAGAAGCAGAAGGCAGCTTGGCTTGCAGCAGCAGCACGAGGACACACTTACCTGCCTGCTGTGGGCCCCTTGCTATCTGTTGACGTCCCAATAGCGTGGGGGGGGCATTTGTATAAATTTCATTTCTCTCGCATATCTTCTGATGCGTTGGGCTTTTCTATAAACAAACAAAGAGGAGAAGTGCAATACAGGCAACAGACAGACGGCTCCTACCTGCTCTCCATCTACCCCGAGCCCCAGCATTCGCACCAACACCAGCACAACGAAGACCACAAGCAGCAGCAGCATGAACAGCAGCAGCATCAGCAGCAGCAGAACCCTCGTTTACTGCGTTTCAGCGCAGTAGAGGAGCCCCTAGGTCTTCGTCTTGAGCTAGGAGGAGACAGCCTGATGGTCCTAGATCAGCGCGACCCCTCCGAGCTGCGGTCGGATGTGAACGGCAGACTNGAGGAGACAGCCTGATGGTCCTAGATCAGCGCGACCCCTCCGAGCTGCGGTCGGATGTGAACGGCAGACTTGTGCGGTATTTAATTCAAGACGGGGAGACAGTTAAAAAGGGACAGCCGTTTGCTGAGGTAGAGGCCATGAAGATGATACTGACGCTTACTGTAAGACCACCTAACTAGGATAGTCTCGTGCTGCTCCTGCTGCTGCTCCTGTTGCTCCCGCTACTGCTCCTGATAGTAGTGATTATAATGATGATGATGATGATGTGGTTCTGTACACCAGGTTGCGTATTTTTTCTGTGTATCTCTTGTGGCTTCTCGCGCTGTGGAATGGCCGCCTGAGGCCGTTTCGGGCGCGTTTCTGCTGCGGCTACTGCTGCTGCTGTTGCTGTTGCTAGCGTTCTTTGTTTGCATACGGTGATGCAGGAGTATTGTGTTGTGTTGTGTGGGGATGTGTACTGCTACAGGCCGGGGAGACGGGAGAGTTGATACACCGGAAGANTTGTGTTGTGTTGTGTGGGGATGTGTACTGCTACAGGCCGGGGAGACGGGAGAGTTGATACACCGGAAGAGTGCCGGGTCGCTCATACAGCAGGGGGAGCTGTTGGCGTCTCTGCGGCTAGAAGACCCCTCAAAGGTGGTGCGGCTGAAGGCTTTTGAGGGGTCTCTTGATCTGTCCCCTCCTCCTCTGTCTCCTAAAGATGAGACAACCGCGGCACCCGCAGCAGCAGCGGCAACCAGTGCTGGAGATGGAGCTGCAGCTGCAGCTAGCCCAGAGACAGCAGCTGCCGACGCTGCTGCTGCAGCAGAAGCGAGACTCGCGCTGCTGCTCAGTGGTTACGTGCAGCAGCAGACGGCGCAGCAGCTGCTGGCATCAGTATTGAAGGGCCCTAGTGGTTCCTCTCTTACTGCATTTGTCTCTTTTGTTGAGCGCTGCTTGAGTCGCTTCCTAGAGACAGAGGAGCTGTTCGCAGGCAAAGGCAATGCAGATGCTGCTGCTGCAGTTGCTGCTGCAGCAGGAGACACAGAAGGACAGTTTAGGATGTATGTCTCCCACTACGCACTCAAGCATAAGACAGAGATGCTCCTACTGCTCCTCAAGGAACTCACGGTGAGCTGATTGCTGCTGTTGCTGCTGCTGCAGTTGTNGAGATGCTCCTACTGCTCCTCAAGGAACTCACGGTGAGCTGATTGCTGCTGTTGCTGCTGCTGCAGTTGTTGTCGCTGTTGCGACTGCGGTTGTAGTGATGAATTTCGTTTTTGGTTGACTAGCAGCCGCAGGAACAGCAGCAACAGGAACAGCGGTAACGGCGGCGAGAGAGCTGCCCCGTACGCCCGTAGTGCAGATGGCATGTGTTCCTTTCCGCGTGTTAAGTGCATGCAACCAGCTGCTTCTGCTGCTGCTGCTGCTGCTACAGGGAAGACTATCTGCAGCTGATTCTGGCTCGCTTGATTCCTCGAGACTTGAAGATCTCCTCCGTCGGGTGGGGGCGCTCAAGGGCGTTGCATATAATGTCTTAGCCTTGGCCTCGCAGCGGCTGCTGAAGCAGCTGCTGCTGCCTTCTGTGGCTGCCCGTGTTGATGCACTCCGCGCCCAGCTGCAACAACTGCAGCAGCAGCAGCAACAACAGCAGCAGCAGGTTCTGCGCGATGAGCTGCTGCAGCTGCCAGAGGAACTCGGGGGATATGGCCTCCTCGCCAATCTCTTTAAGGACCCGCAGGTGGGGCCTGTGGCGCAGGAGATGATGCTGAGGAGACAGCTATTAGGGCTAGACATCCAGCTGCAGCAGCAGCAGCAGGGGTCACTCCCGTTCACGTGGAAAAGAGCGCTTGAGGAGGGCCCTGCAGCAACAGAGAATGCAGGGATATTTGCTGCTGTCTCCAGCATAGAGGAGCTGCAGCAGCAGATGGGGCCGCTGCTGCAGCAGCTAGCACAGCAGCAGAAAGCACTCAAACAAGAAGCTAAAGGCGTGCTGATGCTGAGTCTTCCCCTTTCCAATGCAAAGCCAGGTGCTGTAGCATCGGATGCAGCGGCAATCGAGGCAGCAGCAGCAGCAGCAGCAGCGGCTGCTGCTGCTGCTGCTTCTACCTCCCCGGAGGCTGCTGCTGCACTTAAGAAGCTCCACAGCCTCCGCTTGGTGTTGCCGACGGCCAACGGAGACGCGCAGCAAGTATCACTTGTGCTGCAACAGGAGCAGCAGCAGCAGCACCACCAGGAGCAGCTGCAGCTAAAGGAGGACCCGGTGCAGCGGTAAGCTATGCAGCTGTTTTCTTGCGGTGTACATACACCGAGAATATTGCTTTCCGTGCTGCAGACACGCAGCAACCATCTCTCCTCACTTGCCGCAGCACTGCTTACCGCTCGCCGGCAGCCGCAGGAGCAGAAGAAGCAGCAGCAACAGCAGCAAGAGGGAGAGCTCTGTCTTGTTGTGTGTGTGTGTGTGGGTGTGGGGATTTTGTCTGCTACAGCGGGTTGTCCCTGTCTCAGTTTATATTTGGTGAGATCGAGACGATGCGCAGCATGGGTACGGTGCGGNCAGCGGGTTGTCCCTGTCTCAGTTTATATTTGGTGAGATCGAGACGATGCGCAGCATGGGTACGGTGCGGCGATTGCCGTCTGCTGCTGCTGCTGTTGCAGTGCCTCCAGCAGCGTCAACAGATTTGTTGCTGCATGCTGTATCCCCTAAGCCGCCTGCTGCTGCTGCTGCTTCTGCTGCTCCTCTGAGGACTCCCGCGATGCGGGAGACGGTGTACGTACACCGCATTATCCCGAAGGCAGATGTTTTGCTGCAGCAGGAGGGACTGCAGCAGCTGCTGCAGCACTTGCTGCAGCAGCTAGAAGCAGCCTTCAGGGATCCGCATGTACACCCAACAAGCAACAGTATTGTCGTGCTGCAACTGCTGCAGCAGGAGACAGCAGAGAGACAAGCAGCGCTGCAGAAGGGCTTCTTTGAGGCCCTTCAGCTCCTCAAGGCGCAGCACGGCGAGCGCCTACTGCGGCTAAACGTGGAGAAGGTGGAGTTGCGAGTGCCACACGTTGCTGCTGCTGCAGCACCGAAGCAACAGCAGCAGCACGTAATCAGGGCCTCGAGCAGGGGAGGCTGCTGGCTAGAACCCGAGGAAGTGTCTGCGCCTTCAGGTGCTGCAGGTTACGACGGGGAGTGTGATTTGCATGCGTCTGCTGCAGCACGGCTGAAACAGCAGCAGCAACAGCAGCAGCAGCAGCATCCGCTTGCACCTGAAGCCTCAACAGCAGAGAGCTCTGCTGCCCCTTCTCCCCTTCTCTCCGAGTTGTTTACTCCTGAGAGTGTGTCATTCCAGGAAGGGGAGGGCGAGTCTGCAGCAGCAGCAGCAGCAGCAGNTTGTTTACTCCTGAGAGTGTGTCATTCCAGGAAGGGGAGGGCGAGTCTGCAGCAGCAGCAGCAGCAGCAGCAGGCAGCAGCAGCAGTAGCAGCAGCAGCGTGGCGAGCTCGAGCAGCCACCGCAGCAGCAGCTTATCGAATGACAGGCTGGCATTTTCATGGGGTCGAGGTGGCACTGCAGCAGCAGCAGCAGAAGCGGAGAGGACAGCTCCTTTGGTCCCCCTCCGGGGTATAACAGACGCACAGCTAGCAGCGAAACGGGCTGCAGCACAGAGAGCAGGCAGCACCTACATATATGACTTCCTCGGCCTCATCAATGCAGAACTGCAGCAGCAATGGAGACGCAGCCAAGAAGCTCTCGCTGCAGCAGGAGACCACCGCACACTCAGCGTGCCCAATAAACTCTTGGAGGTAAACACCGATACAACATGACAGCAACGACTCTGTTTCTGCTGTTGTTGCGGCTTTTGCAGTTGCTGTTACTGCTGCTGTTGCTGCTGCTATTGCTGTTGGTGGTAGTGGTGATGATTCTGCTTCTGTAGTTATAAACATTTTATCTGGGTGTTGCTGCTGCAGGCGCGGGAGTTTCATATGGGGGGAGACGGGAAGCTGCAGCTGCACCGCGATTGGTTGGTGGGAGACAACCGCGTGGGGATGGTTGCGTTCCTGCTGCTGCNAAGCTGCAGCTGCACCGCGATTGGTTGGTGGGAGACAACCGCGTGGGGATGGTTGCGTTCCTGCTGCTGCTGCGAACGCCTGAGTATCCTCAGGGACGCGAGGTTGTGGTAATAGGGAATGATGTAACGTATCAGGGGGGGTCTTTCGGTGTGGAGGAGCACGAGATGTACAGACAGGCCTCCGCCTTCTCCCGGCAGCATAAGATACCTCGGCTGTATATTGCTTGCAATAGCGGTGCACGCATTGGGGTGTATGAACAGCTCAAAGATAAAATACAAGTTGAATGGAATGACCCAGAAAACCCATGGCTTGGCTTCAAGCATCTGTATATACGCGAGAAGGATATGCAGCAGCTGCCACCAGGGGCGGTTGTAGGCCACTGGGCCGCTGCGCCTGCTGCATCTGCTGCACAGCAGCAACAGAAGCAACAACAGCAGCAGCAGCAGCAGAAAGAGGAAGGAGAGCGTATCTTTGTGCTGGAGGCCGTGGTGGGCGAGGCTGGGCAGCACTTAGGTGTAGAGAACCTGCGGGGATCAGGGAAGATTGCAGGAGAAACAAGTCAGGCGTATGATGAGGTGTTTACATTATCTCTTGTTTCAGGTCGTTCTGTTGGTATTGGAGCTTATGTAGTGCGGTTGGCACAGCGATGTATACAGCAGAAACACTCGCCTTTGGTTCTTACTGGGTTTCAGGCCCTTAATAAACTCCTAGGGAAGGATGTATATGTATCACAGGAGCAGCTTGGGGGCCCCGAGGTGATGGCCCCAAATGGTGTTACACATCTGCAAGTAGCATCAGATAAAGAGGCGGTAGCAGAAGCAGTAAGATGGCTCGAGTTTGTTCCGCCTACTGCTGATGCTATGCATACGCCCCACAGAATAACAGACCCCGTCAGCAGAGATATTGAATTCACTCCCTCCTCATCTCCCTATGACCCCAGACACATGCTAGCAGGCCACTGGGCCGCTCCAGCACCTCAGCAATCAGGAGCGGAAGAAAACGCACAGCAACAGCAGCAACAACAGCAGCAGAAGCAGGAGCAGCAGCAGGAGCAGCNGGAGCGGAAGAAAACGCACAGCAACAGCAGCAACAACAGCAGCAGAAGCAGGAGCAGCAGCAGGAGCAGCGGTGGGTGTCAGGTTTCTGCGACAAAGACAGCTTCAAGGAAGTCTTAGGGCCGTGGGGTTCAGGCGTAGTTGTGGGGCGGGCTCGCCTGGGGGGGCAGCCAATTGGCGTGATTGCTGTAGATACCCGAACCACAACCGCTGTCTCACCAGCAGACCCAGCAAACCCTGACAGCGCACGAGTCGAGACACCGCAGGTCAGTTACACACACATACACCCGAACACTGGTCCTATAGTATTGCTGCTGCAGCACTGCTGCTGCAGCACTGGTGTTGCTCTCTAACTGCAGCACTGCTGCTGTATCCGTGCTGCTTGGTTGTGTGCTGCATGGGTGTGTAGGCTGGCCAGGTGTGGTTCCCTTCGAGTGCATACAAGACGGCTCAGGCGATCGCGGATTTCAACCGTGGAGAGAATTTGCCTCTAATTATATTTGCAAATTGGCGTGGATTCTCTGGGGGTACCCGCGATATGTTTAATGAGGTGTTGAAATTCGGCTCCATGATCGTAGATGCACTTCGGGTGTACAGACACCCTGTATTCGTTTATATCCCACCCTATGGAGAGCTGCGCGGAGGGTCTTGGGTGGTTATTGACCCCACCATCAACTCGTCACAGATGGAGCTGTATGCTGATGAACTCGCCAGAGGAGGAGTCCTAGAGCCACCAGGCATATGTGAAATTAAATTCAAGGAAGCTGAAAGAAGAAAACTGATGCACCAGAACGATCATACACTACAGCAGTGGCAACGAGAACTCGAAGCAGCCACCGTAAGCTACAGCAGCAGCAGCAACATCACCAGCAACAGCAATAGCAACAGCAGCAGCAGAAACACAACGGCAACTGGCCTGCAGGCACCAACACTATCTGCTGCTTTTCAGTAATTTAGGGGGACTCGGGCGCATTCGCCTCTACTCTGTTGTGTCGTGTGGTATCTTGTTGTGTTGTATTCTATTGTGTTGTGATTTTAATGCGTTGCATTTCATTGTACTATGTTGTATTCTTTTGTGTTGTACACAATGTGATGTGTTGTATTGTGTTCCGGTTTGTTGTGTGCTGTTTGTGTGTTGTTGTCGTTTATTATGTTGTATTTTTATGTATTGTGTTGTATTTTATCTGCATTGTATTGCTTTGCGTTGTGTTGAAATGCAGACACCTGAAGAGGCGGAGGAGATAAAGGAGAAGATAAAGAAGAGAGAGAACCTCCTTATGCCGGTGTACACGCAGGTATGTAGTATGGATATGTGTGTATATCTCTCATCCTATTATATATAATTGTATGCATGCTATCCTTGATTAATCCTTTTAAAAAACAGAATAAAAAGAGGAAGCAAACGAATAGAAAGAACAAATACAAAAGGGACAAGATCTGGTGTACTACTGCCGGCTGCGTTCTTTGTACAGGTAGCGCACGTGTATGCAGACCTCCATGATCGCGCGCCCCGCATGGCAGCTCGTGGTGGGGTAAGAAGAATTCTAAGTTGGCCCAAGGCCAGGGAATTCTTCTACTGGAGAGTGCGGAGGCGACTCGCTGCAAACAGCGTTGTGTGAGCAGTCCATGCAACTCCTCTTGCTGCTCTTCTTGCTTCTGATGATGCTATTCCTCCTGTTGCTGCTGCTGCTGCTGCATCCTTGCATGCTTGCATGCAGAAAACAGCGTGGAGCGTGGGAAGCTTATCCCGTGCTGCATATTTTGGTTTGGTTTCGCGGCATTGCGGCAGTGTTTCTGCTCGCGTCATGCTGCTGTTGTGTCTTTATCTTTCTAAATCGGTATAGCGTGTCTGCTGCNCAGTGTTTCTGCTCGCGTCATGCTGCTGTTGTGTCTTTATCTTTCTAAATCGGTATAGCGTGTCTGCTGCTGTTTCTGCTGCAGTGCATTTCTGTCTCCTGCTGCATCTGTTTATCTGGGTGTCTTTATGTTTGTCTGTGTTTGCATGTACAGCAAGAAACTGATGGCTGCAGATCCCTCACTGAGCTGGGAAGAGGCCCTCAACTTGCTTTACACGGATATACCCCAAATAGCTGATGCAGTGGAAGACCCGCAGGCAGTTGCCTTCTTAGATAGTAAGCGCAGACACTCTGCCGCACAGACACTGTTCAGACACTTCACTGTACAGACACTGCAGTGGACAGGAGCTGTACAGACACCCCAGCGACAAACGTGTGCTTGCTTTCTTTGTTCTAGTTGCAAGAAAAATCCTTTACTAGTATTTTTGTCTATCTGTCTGTTACCTCCTCTCTGATTTCTGATTTCTGTCTGTGGTTGTATATCTATGCAGGCAGCGAAGGCCGCGAGAAGGTGGGTGCGCTGCTGCGGCGCACCGAAGCAGCAGCTTCAAGGCGGGAGCTGCTGCAGCTGGTAGGGCGTTTATCTGCAGCAGAGAAGCGAGATGTATTGAGTGAGGTGCAGGCGCTTCTCTCACAGCAGTGATGTGTTGTATCCAACACGCAACGGACTCCTCTCTTCTACTTATACAGTTTCTTTATATTAATATCAATATGTAAATATATCTGCATATATATATATATATATATATATATATATATATATATANTGAGCATCAACAACAGCAGCAACAGCCACAGACTTCGGGCCTCGCAGGCTCTGTTGGATTTCATCTTTAGAGGGCCTTGCGTTTGTGTTTTGGGGCCCTTTGAGCTGCTGCTCTGTCATAGAGGAAGGATTTGGTTATGTCTTTCTCGGGCCATAGGCATCATTATGTGTTTGTGTTGTTGAATAGAGAACTTGCTGTGGGGTTGCTGTTATTTGTTATTATATATACTGCAGCGCCGTATTTTTGCTAGGCCCAACATTTGTTGCAGGCTTACAGACAATCCCCGTGTGCTGCACATACACCACAAAACACACCCACACACGCAAGTTCCTTGTTTTCTTGTTTCGTGGGGCTGTGTGCAACATGCATGCAAGCAGACACGTTAGGTGCCCCAAGGGGGCCGCTAAAGAGCCCCTACAGGGGCCTCTAAAGCTCCCCTAGTGGGACCCTCAAAGAGCCCCTAGGTGGGCCCCTAGGGGCCCCTTGGGGGTCCCTTATAGAGACCCCAGTAGCACCCCTAAAGGTACCCTAGTGGGGCCCCTAGAGGGGCCCCTAAAGGGGCCCACGGTGGCCCTGGTTGTCTGTGCCCTTCGTCTTGCGCGCCTTGAAGGACGCGCCGCCAGGAAACTGGCTGCAAGAAGCAGCGAGTTTTAGGGTATTTTCATTTGTATAGAGCTCGCTAGCAACAGAAATGTAAATGCTGCAGCAGCATGCAATATGCGATGTACAGGCAGACACCTCAGGCACTACGCACACGCACGCCCCTCAGCCGCACGAACGAAGCAACCTGGTGCTCTAGCAGGAGCCTGCAGCGGCAGCAGCAGCAGCAGCAGCAGCAGCAGATCATTAGCTTCTTTAGGACAGGAAGGAGAAATATGCATGCAGCATCTAGTCTTAGAGCCATACAGCCAGGCACCACAAAGGTGCAGATTCGATGAAGCTAGAGTGTACGACAAACACGAGAACAAACAGAACGAAGGAGAGGGGGGGGAGGGGCAATTAGTTAATGCACTAGTATAATAACTAGTTTTATCTGTAAGTGCAGGCTTCCATAGATGATACATTATAAAGTTGTACCTATACAAACGTATTTCTATAGGCATTGGCGAA